GAGTTTTCTTAAAATGAAGTATATTATAATTTAAATTTTGTAAAAAATGAGACTATAGTGGATTTCTTCAAGGAGGTTTTATTTCTAGACTGGAAATGGAAATAAAACCACAGTAGGCAAATGGGGAGTTTATTTACTTTAATAATTGGTTCACTAAGACTAACGACAAATAGAGACACTACTGGGAAACGTTTGTTATTCTTTGAGTCTGTCCTACACATTTTCACCATTGAGCATGTTTTGGACAATTATGAGATAGCTCAAGCACTAGGCTTAGCACCTATAGAGTAAGAGCTCTGACTATGAATTCCAGTACAAAGCTTTCACTTTGAATTTCAGTTTGACACTTCGCTAACTGCTCTCTATGTGAAGGATCAGTGCATCCCTCCTGTTTGTCCGAGTTTTGAAATAATAAATTATTCTGAAGCAGAGTAGACAAAGTGCCAAAAGCAAGCATGCCCAAGTTCAGGTACACCCTGTGGGTGGAGGACTGGCAGATTAGAGTCTGGGGAATAGAATCCTTCAGCCAGACGGCTAATCTGCTGAAGGTAATAAAATGGGCATCTGTAGAAGCAGATAAATACCCACACTTGTTTTCTAAATATGCAATTTGCACCACTGTAAAACAAAAACCTGAAAGAATGGACATATCAGCTATTGTTTCAACCTTAGCAGCAGTAACAGTAATGAAAACATCATACTAATGTCTAGTCCAGTGAAACTCTCAGTTTCCTATATGTTGTGTGAGCAACCAAATAAACCAAAAATAGGGTACAAAGAGAAGCTGCATAACTTCGGCCTAAACACACTGTGTATGTCTACTGTAGTTCACCTGTAAAACTAAGGTGTTACTAAAAACTGAAAATGATCTGGAGAAACCCCAAGAAATTTTGTAGCTTATTACTCATAGCAAATAAAAGTAACTACTCAAACCTACCAGGAGCCTCCTTTCAAGGCTGTAAACCCGAGACACTGGCTGTGTGGCGGAATGAGAAATAGACTAAGCCGACTACAAATTTTCAACGGCACGGCCAGACCATGAATGTAGGTAGAAAGTCCTGCTGACTCGGTTCATTTGGGCAGAAATGACACCTTCTAGATTACAAAATCCATTTATTGATGTAAGCTTACATCAGCCAGCATCCTGGAATCGGGCTTATCTGAGGGCAACAAAGCTCTTTGATATTTACAGATGTAAAATAAGCAATTACAACTAAACTTTTGGTAATTGTTATTTAATTTTTGGTAATTGCCTCATTATTATCAACCAGTTTTTTTAATAATGGAAAGGAAGTATTTATTTATATAATTTTATTTATTTATTTTAGATTTTATTTATTTATCTTTAGAAGGGAAGGGAAGGAGAGAGGGAGAGTACTATCAATGCATGGTTGTCTCTCGTGCATCCCCTGCTGGGAACTGGCCTGCAACCCAGGCATGTGCCCTGACTGGGAATCAAACAGCCATCCTTTGCTTCTCAGGCTCCTGCTCAATCCACTGAGCTACACCAGTCAGGGCCCAGTTTTTCTTTTTTAAAAAAAGATTTTATTTATCTGTTTTTAGAGAGAGGAAGAAAAGGAGAAAGAGAGGGAGAAAAACATCAATGTGTGGTTGCCTCTTGCACATTCCCTACTGAGGACCTGGCCTGCAACCCAGGCATGTGTCCTGATTGGGAATTGAACCAGTCACCCTTTGGTTCACAGGTCGGTGCTCAATCCACTAAGCTGCACCAGCCAGGGCCAGTTTTTCTTATTAATATTGGTAAAAAAACAAGAGTATGAGTAAAATTTTCTTTTATGCTAAAGTCATGTGTAAAATTACCTATAGGAATTGCTCTTTCATTACTTTGCCTGTTCTATAGAGAAACTATTCTAGAGATGTTTAAGTTTGTTTATTCTTTTCTCTCCCTTTATGTACTTCTCTTAACACAAAATTGTCTGGGTGCTTCCTGCTATAAATTTAGAAGTAATAGGCAGTCTGCAGGCTCAGCTTAATTGATTTTCCTTATTCTTCAAATTTGATTCAGGTTTGGTTTAAGCTTAATTTCACAACTGTAGCCAATATTTCACTTATACACATGAAAAATTTAATTCTTTGAATAGTTACTCAGCGTACCCATTATGAAAACGTAAAACAATTCTATTTAGAAACCACCTAAAACAATGTGGGATGCATTTTGTATTGTACTTTTTGTTTGTCAACTAACCTTATGGTCTACTCATACTAATGGTGATATTATTGGCTATGAAGGAAATCAGAGTAACAGCCCACAATATTCTGTGTAATATATGAAAGAAATTACACATGAAAATTGACCCCCTTCCTCAAGCACATTGCATTTGGACGCCTTGCATGTCGGTGCTAACTTCACTTTTCATGTAGTAATACAGCCCTCACTTCTTTCCGTGGGGACATGCAAAGTTTAAGGCCTTGACTCCCCAATACATTGAATCCCCAATGCATTAATGATCTATTTCGGAACTAATTTTCAACACTTATGAAGTCAATATGCTTTACCTAATTTATAAGAGTGTGAACGTTGTCTAGGACAGCACTGTCCAATAGAAATTTCTGGGCTGGAAATGTTCTGTATCCACAGTACCCAACAGGTAGCCACTAGCCACATGAAGCTAATGAGTTCTTCAAATGTGGCTAAGAAGGAACTGAGTTTTTAATTGCATTTAATTTTCATTAATTTAAAGTTAAATACCCCCGCACACTGGATTACTACTGGCCTAGTAGAGCCTTCAAACATTCAGATAAGTGTAGAAGTGGAAAGCAGATTATGGGCAATCAGGAATCTTGAATTGCCAGCATTGAGTTTTTAAACTCTGTTACTGATTCCCTCAGTATGACTTTTTCTAAGAAGGTTCTCATTTAAAAAAAAAAAAAAAAAAGAGAGAGCGCGAGCCCTGGCTGGTGTGGCTCAGTGGATTGAGTGCAGGCCTGCAAACCAAACAAACCGGGGTTCGTTTCCGGGTTGGGGCGCATGCCTGGGGTATGGGCCAGTTCCAAGCAGGGGACACAACTATGCATTGATATTTCTCTCACTCTCTCCTTCCCTTCCCCTCTAAAGATAAAAAAAAATTGAATTCTTCAGGCTGCTTTTCTGTATGAATCATTTTTTTTAAAGAGGTGTAAGACTGATTTTATTGTCAACTCTGCCCACTCTTCTACAGATAAAGTTCAGTGATTAGGTTCCTGCATTTTTTTAGGTTATACTCCTGGAAAACATGGTTCCCATACTCCAAATAAGTGACAGGAACTTTTCCATTAAATTAACACAGACAGCACAAATGTTCTTTTCCAAAAGCGGAGACTGGAACCACGGGCTCCTCACGTTGCCTGCTGCATCTGTTTATGCTTACAGAAGTGACATCTACTTCGTAGGCAGAGAATGCCAATTTCTTGGGAAAGAACCCAGAATTCAGTGAGACTTGAAGAAAAATTTCACTGTTCAAAAGAAAGGACACATAGATTAGCTACAACGCCCTTCGAAAGCCCTTTCAAAATCAAAGGAGAAAAGATTTTGCTCCCAGAGTGTGGATTCTGCAGGCAGACTTGCCCGAATTCCTAACCGGCCATAATCCTTTGCTGCTGATAAAGCCGTGGGTAAGTTACAAAACCTTAACCTCAGTTTTCCTATCTGTAAAATACGCATAATAACAGTTCTGTTGGAAAAACTTGCGTAAGACTTCAAAATGGGCAAAAGACTCCTGGGTGTCCTTTCAATGGAATGTTGGATGTTATCTACAGGAATGTGGAGTTTTCTGGTTTTACAGTGCCCTGAACCTTTGCTTTATTTTACTAATCTATAAGCTTTAGAAATTCATGGTAATGTAAGTGGTTCTTATATATATATATATAGATAAAGGGAATGATTTTGTTTCTAAGAGACACAATTGAATACTGTCTGTGGAACAGATAATTCAAAAGATTGTATTTTAGTACGTTATGCAATAGTAACCAGTTTTGCTTCTTTTCTGATTGTCCATAAAGGTCTATTCCTCTCATATGACTGTGTTGCAGTATCTTGCTGATTCCCTCAATTAGTGAATCAAATAATATTTTGGACATATCTACATTTTATGTTTTTATGAGTCATGTTTCACTTTCTTGAAAAAACTGTCTGTTAAGAATTTCTACTCCATAGAGTTTGAAAAGATTGGTTCAAAGGCCTACAAGGACTGTTACGCTCAGTTTCATGGTTTGCAGTTAGGCTGTAACACCTCTAGTATTTTTTTGGGGGGGGTGGGGGCTAGGAAGGAAGGGATACTGAACCTTTATTTATAAAACGGTGAGGGTCTGAAAAATAATGCCCTGCCAAGAATGTCAGAAGCCCTCGTCATCCCTTTCCTTTCAGCAGCTGAGGCTGAAGGTCAAGGTGGGTGGAGTTCAGTGGCCAAGGTGGAGGCCACAGGGGATCTGGGCCTCGGCTTAGCCAGGTGTGGGCCCTCCGGGCCAGCAGAAAGGCCTCGGGGTTTACATGCCCTGGGGTCACAGAGTTAACTGCAGACCTTGTGGGGCTCCAGCAGCGGTCAGCGGAAGACCCCGGTTCCCGCGGAACCAATACCCCAGCAGAAACGCGGGCAGGCCGGGCCAGCGCAGGCCGTGCCCCAGGCCCACGAGGCCCCTTGCCCACCACCGAGGGGGTGGGGCGGCCTCGCCCCGGGCCGGTGCTTTTCGCCCTCGGTTGGCCGCCAGAGGCTCCCTCTCTCTCCCTCTCCTGGGATTTTGCTGCCGGGCTCTCTCTCTTTCTCTGCGGCCCTAGAGTTAATCCCATCAGCCGAGGTGAGGCACCTGTTACCCCAGGCCTTCCTCACCCTCGCCGCCTCCCCGGCATTACACCCCGACACCCTTGAAGGCCAAACGGCCAGCACGGGTGACCGCACGTGGGCGAAGCCCCTTCCCGGGCCGGGACGTCCCGGCCCCAGGCCGGCCCGAGTGTGCGAGCGCGCCGAGCCGGCCGCCGGCCGCCATGGCGTTGGGGAGCGCCGCGCGCCTCTTGGGGTCGCCCGCCACGGGCAGGGCGCGCGTGGGGACCCCGGCGCGAGTGGAAGTGGCCGCCGCAGCCGCCCTCGGCGCTGCGCCGTGAGGAGTGGGTGGAGGGCACCGAGCGGGCGGCGCGAAGCCGAGCGGCGGCCACCGGGGGGCGGGGGCGCCTCGGAGGAGGGGTGGGAGCGCGGCCGCCCGACCCTCCCGCAGGCGGCGGCTCCCGCTCGGGTAAGGGGGAGGCTGCTCGCGGGGCGAGTTGGGGAGGGTGGAGACGTAGAGGGAAAACCTCGGCTGGTACAAAGGCTGAGTTGCAGGCTGGGGGTGGGGGTGGGCTGTGGTTGGGAGCGATAGGTTGAAGATCGGAGGCATATCAGTAGGATCTATTGTTTCCTGGCACATTGGGAGGAAAAACAAAGGGATTTATGATGATTACCCTGTAATTTTTTATTTTTCCTCTTTTTTTAAATGTGGCTGGGGAGCCCGGCTCTCCCCGTGCCACACTGGGATCCGCCTGGCAGCCGCCTGGAGCCGCAGCAAATGTGTTAGGGGACTTCAGGTGCTTCTTGGCACAAAGCTAGACTGCGACCTCCTACCATAGCGCTTGGCGTCACCTGCTCTCCCGGCCCTGCCCCGGGGCCGAGGATCTGGCTTGGGAATCGGCCGCCTCTCAAGTTGGTGTTATTTATGTTTGTCTTTTGTGAGGGCAGGTTTTGAATCCCCCGGCGGCCCCGTCTCCCCCGCTCCCGCCCCCTTGGGCTCAGAAAGGCGGGGGAGGGAGTAGGGAGGGGGAGGGGAAGGGGAGCATGTGTTAGGCTGATGCAAATGTCAGGGCAGGTAGAAGGAGATCATCGATGCCTTACCAAAAACCAGGCACCACACTCTAAAGCCTTTCTTGTTTGTCTGCATGGGCCATGCATGCGTGCTGGGCCAGGAGTCCGAGTTTGGAGACGATTTAAATGAAAGTGTGTGCTTCCTCAGCTGATGGTGCATGGGGCTGATGTGGCTCGGCCTAATATTCAAAACCAAAACCAAAACAAAATGAAAAATCTTTAGAACTACATTGTTTGCACCTCAGAAGATCTTGAAATATTTATTGCTGGCCTATTGATATGGAGTCCAGGAGACCAGCAAGCCTGCATTGGGTTGCATTTTGAGCTTTTAGTTAAGTTGGAGGCAAGTAGGAATAAACAAATCAGAGCTGTGAAAAAAAAGGTTTCATGGTACATTTGTTTTCTGATCGTCACATTCTTATGCTTTTATTCCCATGACAGTCTACATACCTCTCTGTAATTAATAATTAATTTCCACTCTTAGAAAACTTCCAAATATTTGCTGTAAGTGGACTTCGAGTGAAACTTACTGCCATTTAAGAACTTTATTCTGCTGGTTTTGGTTTGAAATTGCACTGGTGTTTCTTTGAGGATGCTGTGAATGAGAACACTGGGCCATAAAGAGGGAAATAAGCCTGTATAGGCATGTTTTCAAGTTTGTAAACATAGATTCCAAACTTTTGATTGCACTTATACAGAAGGAGTAAGTTCCATCTGATGTGGAGAGTTTGAATGAAGTTCATTTTTCTGGGCAGTGTGGTGGTTTCTTAAAGATGCATGAACTGCTGATTTCTTTTAAGGTGATTCACAAAAGCAACCAAAACTTGGGCTAAAGTATTGCTTTTAAGTGTACTTGTGTGTAACTTGTATGTGCGTATGTGTGTGATTTTGGTAGAGCTCTCCGAATTGTGTTTAAAACATTTTGCTACTGAGGACCAATCCGAGTTACAACTTTTAAAGTCTTGGCTTTTAAATTCCAGTTTCAATTACTAATGTCCTCCGTTTGAAGCCACTTTGAAGGGAAAAGTGTATGTTAGTTGAGTAAAAATAAATTCAAATCAGTAAATGAATTCAGAAATTCATTCTTTTCTATTACAGATGAACCTCTAGTCTTGCTTTGAAAAAAAGCCATTTTGTGTAACTCTTGACTGAATCATTTCCTAACCCACCTGTTGCGAGGATCTCTGACACAGTATGCCATTTGAGAGGTACTTTTTCTTGATCAAATACTGGTGATTAGAGACGAGAGGTGTTTTTGTCTCTTGTTTTTTTCCCTGATCATTATGAACATTGGCTTTTCACCCTGAAGGAAAAATGTTGAAAACTGAGTCTTCAGGCGAACGCAGCACTCTCAGAAGTGCCTCTCCTCACAGGAATGCGTATAGAACCGAGTTCCAGGCACTGAAAAGCACCTTTGACAAACCCAAGTCAGATGGGGAACAAAAAACAAAAGAAGGTGAGGGCTCCCAGCAGAGCAGGGGGAGGAAATATGGCTCCAATGTCAACAGAATTAAAAACCTATTTATGCAGATGGGTATGGAACCCAGTGAGAATGCTGCAGTCATTGCCAAAACAAGGGGCAAAGGTGGACCTTCGTCTCCTCAGAGAAGAATGAAGCCCAAAGAATTTCTGGAGAAAACGGACGGCTCAGTTGTTAAGTTGGAGTCCTCCGTTTCAGAACGAATCAGTAGATTTGACACAATGCACGATGGCCCTTCATATTCTAAGTTCACAGAAACTCGGAAGTTGTTTGAGAGAAGCGTGTATGAATCCGGACAGAACCACCGTTATTCCCCAAAGAAAGAGAAAGCTGGAGGCAGTGAACCTCAGGACGAATGGGGTGGTTCGAAGTCCAACAGAGGCAGTACTGATTCCTTGGACAGCCTCAGCTCCCGGACAGAGGCTGTCTCCCCCACCGTGAGCCAACTGAGTGCAGTATTTGAAAATGCCGATTCCCCCAGTTCCACCATTTCCGAGAAGGCTGAAAACAGTGAATACTCAGTGACTGGACATTATCCCCTAAATTTACCAGCTGTGACAGTTACGAATCTGGACACCTTTGGTCACCTGAAGGATTCTAATTCTTGGTCTCCTCCAAGCAAACACGGTGATGACTCAGAGGATGCTCGGAAGAGTAACACATCCTTAGTAACAGAAGTGGCTTTGAAAAGTACCTCTCTAGCTTTGATGCCTAGTGAAGAGACACAGCAGAGCAGGGAGGCTGAGGACTCCACATCTAACCAAGAGACTCCTGACAGAGTTGACAAGGACATCCGTGAAGAACCTTGTGCTGAGGATAAGGCAATGCCAAAGTCTGACATCCTTTCACCACAAAATGAACCTTTAGAAGATGCCAAAGCTAATTTGGTTGGGAATGAAGCAGCAATGCCACAGAAGAGAGAACTTGCAGGTGGTGATTTTATCTCTGCTGATGCTTCTGGATCCAGGGGTGGAAAGGAAGTATCCGAAGATACAAGTAGTGTTGAGGGTTCCCATGTTTACATGCACAGTGACTATAATGTATACAGGGTAAGATCCAGGTGTAATTCGGACTGGGGAGAGACAGGCACTGAACAGGATGAGCAGGACGATAGTGATGAGAACAATTACTATCAGCCTGACATGGAATACTCAGAAATTGTCGGATTGCCAGAAGAAGACGAAATCCCAGCAAATAGGAGAATTAAGTTTAGTAGTGCTCCAATTAAGGTAAGTATGTTTTCTCAGTTTGTTTTCCAAGTTCTGTCTAAGTTTCCTTAGTCTGTGGGCCTAACTGTATGTGGAACCGATTCTGACAACTATAAGGAGCTCAAGATTGTTGATACACAGAATGTTGTCAGGTGATTTAAAAAATTTGGAGTTTCAGAGATATCCAGCCTATTTCCTAATGTGTTTTATAGTTGCTTAAGCCAGTATTGAGTAACATTAAAGTTGAAGAAGTTTGGGGGTTGTGAGATACTTTCCAATGGACCGGAGTGTGAATAATGTGAACAAACACTGAAAACCAGGGGTGTTAGTTTGAAATAGAATTACTTCTTTAACTAGTTTTGCCTAAGATTACCCATAAGTGATATTTCCTGACTCTAAACATTAGGATATCAAGTAGAGTGCTCAATGGGAGAGTTGTGGTAACCTTGATATAATACTCTTTATTTCCTTGCTTAAAAAAATCTGAACTATCACTTAAGTGTAAGTGGATTGTGAGGAAGGAATGTTGGAGCTATTTTTTTTCCTACTGCCACTTGGTAGTGGAAGTTTGACCCATGGAAATACATTAGCGGGCTTTAATTGGAAAGCTAGGACTGGAAATAGCTTTGCATTCAGAATTTGATAGGGAGATTTAAAATGAAATTTTGTGAAAGAAAGTTAAATTGATTTGCCATTCATGGATTTATTTTTACCTCCTAAAAACTGGATAAATGCCAACTGAATTCAGATGCTCTATTCTAACGACTTCCCTTAGTTCACATTTGATACAGAGGAATAGCACAGAGCACATCAGCAGGGCGGCGAAACGTTATTAGCCGGTAATGGCAACAGGGCAGGAGGTGAGCGTCAGCCTCTCCTGGAGTGCTCCTTCAAAGTGCACTTGCCCACCAGCCCCTTCCCGAGATTCTGGCCTGCCTCCTCCGGGGAGCTGGAGGGTTGCAGTGGCAGAATGTGTGGCTTGAAGCCACTTTGTAAGAGGTTTCCAGCTTACACAGTGTATCTAGGATGGATTTGGAATTTGATATGGTATCTTTTAAAATTTTCTCCTGAAAACCTCTAATCACTGCCTATTGCCATTTTCAGCTGATGAAACTCCCATATAAGGCTGTAGTGTAGTTTACACAGCTAAGAGAAATCTGACCTTGCTTTAATCACGCAATGCTGTTTTGCAGTAAAGTAATAATCTATGAAATTGTCTACAGGTGGTAGCCGGGTAATTCATTTCACTAGGGTAAAGCAGAAGTTCTGGATCAGAAGGGGCCAGGTCAAGTTCCACTGAGTTTAACTAGAGATGTGATTCTGGTTCTCAGTGAACTAAGTTTCTTTGCAGTGCTTTGCCCCTTTCCTTTGTCGTTCTGTCTCCTAAGCCCCAATTCCAGGCACTCTCTGTAGAGAGCCTGTTTTAGGCCTGTTCTGTGAGCTCCTGAGTCTGAGTGTTAGGACCCCTTGGCAAGTACTCCCCTTTGGACATCATCTTTCTGTCCCTTAGGAAGAAGCAGGAAGATTAAATTGTTTCACATCGAGCAAGGCAAGAATAACTGAAATGAACTCTTCAAGGAGTTTGTTAAAACCAGTCACTGACTCCCTAATGGGAATTAGCAGCTTCTGAAAATTTATCAAGTACAATGCTACCCAGTCAGGCCATTTGGACATCGGCTTTGTATTTGGGTCTTGTGCTTCCCAAAATATAACTGCACAGTAATAGGTTTAATGAATTTTCAAGGATTTATCATTGAAATATGGCTGTTCATATGTGATGAAACCAGGTTGGGGTATGCTATTTTGAAATAAAAGTGATTTTTATCTACTGTTGCTTATACCAGTAAGCATTTTGCCTTTTAGTTTTCATACAGTAAAGATGCTGTATATTTCACATAACAGAGTAAAGTAAATTACATATATTTAAGTTTAACACATTTCATCAGAACATAGTTCAAGCAAAAGATCTGTGAAACAGAGATAATGCCTTGCGTTTTAGTGGGCAGTTAACAGTACTAGTTGGAGTGGATTAATTTTGCAAACAGAAGATTCATTCTTTGCCCTTCGTAATGAATAAGACTCTTTCTTGTTTTTCCCATTGTTTAGCATGTAAGTGAATTCACTTGGAAATTTTGAGAGCTACTTTTCTACTGGGTGGTGGTGGTGATGGCAGTGTTTAGATTAATCTCCAGTGAAGCTTTTTGCCTTAGACAGTGGTAATGCTTAATTAAATTCAGTAAGTATTTATTGAAGGCTTATCCTGTGTCTATTCTCATGCCGTTAGCTACAGGAGAACAAAAACTTACAAGGTTACCTTTTCCTTGGTGAGCTTGTAGAGTCAATTCTTAAACACGTATTTAAAACCCTTGCAACACTGTAAAAACTTGTGCCAAAGTCTCTTATGAATACCTGGGCTGTCTGGCTGTGCTAGGTACACGGAGTGAGCAGAATCCAGCCAGTCATTTGAAAGGGAAGACATTCAGATATGCCATATGTATGTTTTAAAATTCTTTTTATAAAGCATTATTTATAGAATGGGAAGTTAACAATTTTGAATTGAAATCTTTTCCTTTGAAATTTCAACACACTCTTTCAGAAGCAATAGGAAGTATATTCCTGAGAGAAGTGATCTTTAGAACTTTTACATACTTTTCCTGATACTCATTTTGCTCTTCGCGAGGGTAAAAATTCTAGACACCTCTCACCTGCTGTTTTAGGTCTTGTTTATGATCTCCATGCATGTCCTCAGTTTCTATTTCAGTTCTTCTGTAGATGTTTTAAATAGATATTTCCCTGGATCTTACATCTGAACTTCAATCTGGACTTAGAAAATCATACAAATCATAGCTGATCTTGTCTGTGTAGCATATTCCTTATACATAATTGTTGGTGACTTTTAGAAATGGTTGGATTATTTCTTAACGAATAGGTTAATGTGTCTCCTAGGGCCCTGGAAAACTGTAATGGGATTAATAATGGAAAATATAAAATCTAGCTTTGAGATACAGGGTGAAGGAGTCTTGTGAACTGTGCTGATTTGAGATGTGCAATTATGCCTCCATTCTTAGGAACTTCTCAAAACCAAGGGATTAAATTAATTAAATTTGTCTTAGATAAATCAAGAATAGAAAAGCTGACATTTTTCATTCTTTTTCCTGTTAATTCAGAACATTTACAGAGCCCGTACTATATGTCGAGAACAACGCAAATGTAATAAATACATAAAATGATTGGAGCCAATCAAATCAGAAGCGGCTGGTTGGTGGGAACCATTGCAGCCCTTTAGAGATGCTTCTGAGGCTGTTCTGCTCAATTCTGTTTTTGGATGATCTTTCTAAGGCCACTGAAACTTTATGAAGGAAGTCACACCCCTTTCTCTATTTCTGGTAGCCTTATGGCCTTTGCATTGGTGTTCCTGAAATATAATATATCTGGAAAAGGGCATTTTCCTGATTCCCAGCAAGAAGGAGATTGCAGGGTTAATGTCGAGATGCGTCGTGCTGTACTTTTCTGAGTGTTACCTTAAACTCCATAGAGAGCTTTACAGAGCTGTGTTTGAAGGAGACTGGCCATGGGCAGCAGCGTTGCTCTGAACCCTACATGAGAAGTTGTTGAAAATAGTTCCCTTAGTGTTTTCACCCTCATTTGGGGCTCTGAGTTGTCAGGGGGTACACAGGGCCTTTTATTCAGGAGGGCATTCAGAGCATGGTTCTGAGATCCCAATTTCTGTCTTTGAGGAGCTTTTTCTAACAGTCTTGCTCAGTGCTTCTTAATATGCATATGAATCACCTGAGGATCTTTCAAAGTGCGAATCTGTGATTCAGTAGGTGTTTTGTGGGCAATTACCTTGATGCAGTGGTTACCCTCCACATACATACTGCCAGCTATTTCAGAGGTTATGGCATAGATAGGCTCAGCAACTGAATTAAAGTGGTTGAATCACACGATTTATAAACTCAGTTTAAAACCCACAGCTGGAAGCCAGAAGAAAGCCACAGAGTAAGTTCACATACTTACAGGGCTAACAGGTTCAGAAGGACCACGCTGCCTGAGTCCTGGTACACACTCATATGTCCTGATCCTCTTTTACATCAGCCTTCCCCATCCATGGTGCGGTTATGAGGGCTAAAGTTGATACTGGAGCAAGGACTCCTCTGACCAGTGATACCCTGGGCTAATGATACATGCTTGCTCTATCTAAGAGGGTGGGGACAGGTGCACTTAGGTACAGCTGTAGCTTTACCAGTTTGCCTGCTGCGGACCCAGGGATTTTATCTGCATTTCTTTGAGTCCTGGATAGAACCACACTGAGTGTCTTCGGTTGGTGGCTGACATGGAGCTGTCAGGAGATGACATGATTCTAACTTGATCTTTCCACCCCTTCTTACTTGCAGGTACACCTTTTGTTTGTTCCATCATTTCTTCTATTTTGGCATGTCTTACAGGTTGCCAACTTATTTTTTAACACATGAATTTTGCTTTTCCCTTACAAGCTTTCATTATCTAAACTTAATCGAGCCTCAGAGTATTGTCTCTTTTACTAGCTTATGAGATCATCAAATATCACCTTATGAGTCTCTCAATCTTTATAACAGAATTTAATATTCCCAGTAATTCTCAAACAATACAGCACGCTCACAAAACAGTAGGTCTGGGGTGAGATTTTTTATTTCTAACAAGCTCTCAAGTTGGTGCTGATGGTTCTGGTCAACATGCTACTCTTTGGAATATGATTTTTGAATTTTAGTCTCCTGGCTTCTGTAAGGGGCTTGTCCTAAAGTGTCAGGGAAGCTCATTTAACAAATGTGCTTTCCACATGGGTCTGCTGTCCATAGCTGGTTGTGCCAAAGAATATTCTTTGAAGATGAAATGGGTGTCAATTTGTAAAGTGCATGAAGCACTCTGTTTCTGGATGCCAAAGTAGGTAGTGATCCCTAAATTCATAAGGGGTTTGGGTCATCAAAAATTCTAGACTCTTTGTGTGGCCTGTTTTCAGGTATAAAAAGACAAGAGGAGGAAGT